ATTTGCTAAAAAAATTAAAAAGGTTTAAGTCGTCTAACCATCATGATGTGCTTGTTGCGATACCCCAACAAATATTGGTATTTTATAATATGAATACATATTTTTAATTTGCTAAAAAAATTAAAAAGGTTTAAGTCGTCTAACCATCATGCTGCCTCACGTAGAAATTTGTTATATACGTTTGTTGCTGCCTTGAATTAACAACTTAAAATTAAACACAGTTGATGTCAAGAAAATGAGGATAATTGTTTAATTTGATTTTATTAATTATATTCACAAGAGTACAGAAGTCGGTTTTAGGCTGAAAACCGAGATCATCTTTTGTTCATGTACAATGTGTTCCGTAGTATCCTCGTACTATCATAAATTCTGCTATTTATAGTACGGTGGCTTTTGTCTTCTTGCTTCGAAACGGATAAAGATGCATTTAATGTTGAGCTGCTTCGCTTGAGGCGGCGGGAAACATCAATGATTGCCTTTTTATTTTGTTGGTCCAATCAGATGCTTCTAATGATTACTTTCTGTTGAAATATTCAACATTATAATAGTCGGTTGACTTGAAGTCGGTCTACTTGTGTTGGTTTCGGATGTCGGTTTCTTCAGAAGTCGGTAATTTGTTCCAATACATACCGACTTGTAGTAAGCTTTCCTGCGAAATTATTTCTTCAATAATATGATTAATCTCCATCTTCACTCTCCGTTACTGGATTTAATATCAACAACGTTTGACATGTACCAAATAGTTTCCAAAGTGAAGAAGAAGTCGACCCATCAAAGAACATTTTTTTAAATATGTGTGGTTCAATTTTTTTATTGTGTTTGGCATTATGTTTTATAAAATTTATTTTTAAAATCGAAAAAATTATATATTAATAGCATCTATGTAAATGGTAGCACATGCAGGGGCGGAGCCACCCCAAAGGCTGGGGTGGGCTCTAGCCCGCTCTTAATTTTTTGGCACGTCTAAATATGTACTAGAAAAAATATTGTAGCTCATGTTAAATTAGACTAGCTACGAATTAATTTTATTTTGGCCCAAAATAAATTATATTTATTTTAAAATAAATTAATGAATTATATATTTGAAAATAGTTTCAGTCTCTTCTCGTTTTTCCTTTTAGCTCATTATGTCATTTTTCGTCTTCTTTTTGTGTTTAAATTATATTATTTATTTAAATAAAATTTATTTGAATAAATTTATTCGAGACAATAAATATTTTTGTTAGGCTTCCATTAGAATATTTAGTATGCAATTGAATTTATTGATTTTACAGTTTAGTTATATATTTTTCTAATTCTTCAAATAAATGGTATCTCAGTATATAAAAAATTTAATGCCAAGTCTCATTTATTTATGTGGCATGAATGATATATGAACCATTTGTCATACAATAAGAATAAACAATTGATCTATCTCATGGCGGACTTTTTAATAAATATATTATTTTTTTTAATTAAAGTTCAAGTATATGATAAAAAATATCTTAGCATTTAATAAATAATAAATAATTTAAAAGTTATGACTTGTCATATGTATAAAAGAGTAGTTAATATAATTCACAAGTTTTTTTAGAAGGTCCATATAATTGATTTTTATTCTACAAATACAACATCTATGTTTTAATATTATTTAATGCGTGATTCTTGTAATTTATATTAATATTTCAAAATTGTTTTCATACCTTTTTTTATAATGTGTCTAGCTAGATTATTCGAGTCAAGTACTTGATGTTTAAATTCATATACATTTAATTAACGAGTTGCCATGACTAAACTCGTTTAATAAACAAATAGAAATGTGAGCCCGAGCTTGGATCGTCTAGACTTGGTTCGACTCGTTTAATAAGCTTTTAAATATTCAGGATCAAAACCCAAAATTCTAACAGAGTCGGTCACGAACACGTTCAATTCAACTTGTTTGATAGAAAAAACTTTAGCTCATTTAAATATACAAGTGAGTCGAGTTTGACCTTTTCACAAGTCGAATCGAACTATGTTACTAGTAGTGTTGTTAAATTAAACGAGCCGAGTCGGCTCGAGCTCGAGCTCATTTGATAAACAAGCCGAGCTCGAGCTCATTTAAAGCTCATTTGATTAACGGGCTCAACTCGACTCAGCTCGATAAGTCTCGTTAAGGCTCGAAAATAGTTTTTATATAATTTTCTATAGTTCGACTTGTTAAAACGTGAGATCCGCTTGTTAAGGCTTGAACTCAACCCGTTCTTAGTGATAAAGCCAAGCCTCAAGCTCAAACTCGAATACCTAAGCTCGAATTCAACTCAACTCATTTACAAGTCTAATTATTGGACATTCGGTTTGCAAGTATTGCAGCTCAGGGTGAAAAAAAATTCTAACTACGCCCGTGAGCACATGTGCTATTAAAATAACATTATACACCGTAAAAATTACCATATACATTTTCAAGGTTCTCACGAGATTGATTTTTATTATAACTCTACCCAATGTATATAGGACAAGGATGCCCAAGATTACTTATGTTGTATCAGTATGAACTTGTGGGAGCCTATTCATCGTTTTAAAGATTTGTTGTTAGACATTCTTACAGATTAAAATATATAATACTTTTTAGATAATTATGCCTACCTAAATATATATCATATTATAAAATAACATAAATAAATATATAAATACAACATTTTTAGTATAAATATATAATTTTATTCAGAAGTATAACAAGTCAATCTATGTAACTACAGTTAGACAGCCCAACAGTGCTGGACTGTTGATCAGTCATATATGACTTTCAACATCGTCTTTATTTTTTTCTCTCTAATGCTAACTGTCTAGGTCCATTTTCTTTTGACGTGGCGTGACCACTTTCTTACCCACTGTCTGGAGGTAGAAAGTCAAAAAATTGATTTTTATGAACATAAATTTATAAGTCTAGAATAATTAACTACCTACTATTTAACATTTAAGTCATATTTTTATGTTATCGCGATATTACTAATAAAACAAAATGTATTCACGAAATACTCTTTATATTATGTAAAATAATATTTTTTACATATATTGCATACATATATATAATACTATTTGTTTAATCGATTAATTTAATCATGATCATATGTTTTAGATTTTTCAACTTGTAGAAAATGAATCAAAAAATATTCTACTAATATGATGTTATGTATTTATTTATTTACACGCATGTTTTAAAAATATTTTATATCTAATTTCACTACTATTAGATTAAATTTTTATGTCCAAAATTTAAGATAAAAATTATAAAATTCAGGCAAGAAGCATACGAACACTTATAATTATTTTAATTTGTAAAGTATAAATTATGAAAATTAGATAAATAATTTAAGCTAAAATCTTTAATAAAAAAATAAAATAAAATTTTATAAAAATACTTGTGAAGAACACGTGTCAAATCATTAAATAATGTGTCTTTGTTGGTTATCGGTAAATAAATAAATATTAATTGAGACATTAAATCATTTATTAGTTCCATTTAATTTTAAATAGTCAAGACATTGAGGTGGTTCTAAATTTTACGTCAATGTCAAGTACATTTATTTGACATCTATTAGACAGTACCAATTATATTATGCCATATGGCATCAATTTTTCAATGTCAATGTTAGAGCACTGCTCTAACGCCAATACTTGAAATACAACAAATGTTCTGGAATTGGCTCCCAAGCAACCTTTTACAATTGCTCGTACTACCAAAATTCAAGCCAATTACAGGGGGTCGATAATTAATTACAAAAAAAAATTGTTTTTGGTAATGGCAACCTCACATTTAAGGGATAATTGCAATGCCAAAATATCATGAGATTTTTGAAAATGAGTATTGCCTACAAGGAAGAATAATGTAAGATGGAGCCAAATGTCAAATAAAGTGTTTAATCTTTATTATCTTCCTTCTTGTAGTAATTAGCTCAAATTTCCAAGAGGAGTTTTTCTATTTTCCCATTATTGCTACCATTGCACCCTCTAAAAAATTCTGAATTTAAATTGTTGCTTTAATCATAAGGAAAAAATAAATAAAATGAAAACGTATCCAAAAAATTGAGTAATTTTTTTCCTTTGTTTTTACATGATTTCACTCCAAATACACAAATTAATATGAACTATGAGGATGATAGGAACTTATGATTTCTAGGAAGGTCAAGTAACGATGTTGTGGCTTGTTTGGCATCCCACGTTAGTACATGCAAAAAAAAAAAACACCGTAATCTTTCGAGTGGTCAACCAAGTCGCGAAGGAGCTATTGACCATCGTATTGCTACTTCTCCAAACTCACTCAAGTCTCAAACCAAAGAAGACCTCTTAAGTGGGCCCCAAATATTGACACACAAAAAATAATAAAACACACTGACACACATGCAAAGAGGAATCAACCTTTTCTGATTCCCCCACTATGTCAAACTAGTAATTATGGTGTATAATTTGTGGCAGAATTTTACCAAGTGCATGCAAGGCCTCTAATTAAACAATTTAAAAAAAAAAAAAAATGTTTCTTTTTTCGCGTTGACGAAAGTCAGTTTGCAAAGATTGTACTCGAGTAAATAAAATTTCAAATGTTCACAAAATATTTTTCATAAACTAAGAAATAATTAAATTAGTTAATAACTTATCTTAAATTAAAAATTATTTAACAAATTTTAAATAATACACACACATATATTAATCAAATATTGCATCATTAAGCATCGTGAAAAATATAATATTAAATATAAGAAAAATTAATACCAAATTGTATTTTCTTTTTATAGATATTAGTTCTTTGATTTAATTCATATAGTTTCCCATGACAAATTCAATTTTAATGGGAGACTTTAATTTTTCTTTCCCTTATTTTTGACAAAATTCTCCACTTCTCATGCACCAAATATTATTATGAAAATTAGGTAAACATTCGTTATATTTCCATGCTTGTATATTGGTGACCAAGCACAAACCCTCATGTACTAACCTCCTCTTTAACTTCTTTTCTTTAAGTTGAAATATACCTAAAGAGTCAACAACCCGCCAAAAATCAATGGTTAATATAGTTAATCTTGAAGGCAGTCATTCACAATATTCTGTTGTCTCCTATAAATACTATATGCATGTACTTCAGTTGATCATAATGAGATATACAACAAAATTCAACCAAACAATTACAGTTACCTATCTGCACTTGGCTCCAAATCCACACAACTATAGAGAAGATTGTTTTGGCCTCCATTTTCAAGAACTTGCAAGAAAAATAATAATAGTAATAATAATAAGAATGAGGCTAGGAGCTCAACTAATTGTCACAGTTTTTGCTATTTTATTATGTTCCTTTCCCCTTTGTTCTGGCAGAAAGGGAAGGCAAAGGAATTTAACTCCCAAAGGCAAGAAGCAACCTCCACCAACTTGCCAAACAAACTGTTCAGCGTGTGGAAACAGTTCTTATTCACCACCTCAACTGGTGTTCAATGTCGATGACTTTGGAGCCAAAGCAAATGTCAGTGACACAGATAATCTTCAGGTACATTTATGAGAACCAATATGTTTTCATCATATTTGTGCTCATTTCTTGGTTTGGAAAGGGGAGATAAGCATGCCTAACATCATTCCATACTAATTGTTTCATGCATTACTTGTTGCATAATGTAGCTGGGGGTAGTTTAACCTTGAAGAATGTTAATTGTTGCTTAATTTAATACATGTAACTGATATAATTCTGATAGGAACTTTTCCTTTCAAAAATTGGTGCAGGCATTCAAGAAAGCTTGGGACAGTGCTTGTAATTCTGCGGATTCAGCAAAAATTTTGGTTCCCAAAGGCAATACTTACTCTATTAAGCAGATAAACTTCACTGGTCCCTGCCAATCCAAAATTTCTGTGGAGGTAAGTTTCTACATGATGGTATCACTTGTGTACAGTCACATGCTATAAGAAAGATCAAAAGCCGTTTTGTTTAATTTTGTAGATACAAGGTACAATACAGGCATTTTCTGAAATGTACGATTTCCCAAAAAGACTTTGGATAAAGTTTGGGAATGTAGCAAACATGGATGTTTATGGTGGTGGAATTCTTGATGGTATGGGGGCAGTGTGGTGGAAGAATACATGTAAAATCAAGAAAACTAAGGTATACATAAAGATACAAGAATTTGGTTTACTTAAAACATTTCTACTGCAAAAACTTATCGGTCTGCTACTGATATGTTCATATTTTTTGTTCACCTGGAAGCCTTGCATATCCCAAAAGGCACCAAGTGTACGTTTTTTTTTCTTTCCATTCTTTTTTTTTTCTTTATTTTATGCATGTTTAAATCAACCATGAATTTTCTGCAATNGAGAAATGCACAAATATAAGAGTAAGCAATTTAAAGACAAAGGATGCACAACAAATGCATGTGGTTTTTGATGGTTGTGATGGCGTGGACGCTTCAAATCTAACAGTAGTAGCACCAGAAAAAAGCCCCAACACAGATGGAATTCACATCACAAAATCATCAAATGTGAAAGTTCAAGATTCTACAATAGGAACAGGTAAAACATAAATGAAGTGAAATTTTACTGTCCATTGATCAATTGTAAGGTCATTCTGCAACTATCCTAACCTAAACATGAATTCAACCAATAATATGATTTAGTGATGATTAGTAATTTTATTTTTTATTTTGTTTTATTTTTGGTCAGGTGATGATTGTATCTCTATAGTAAATGGAACAAGAAATGTCGAAGTGAGCAACGTACTATGTGGACCGGGTCATGGAATCAGGTAAAATTTATATAACACTTGATATTTACAATTTTCTCAATATAAATATCGCTTTGATATCCATAATGCATATGTAAAATAAATAAATAATTTTAGCTTCGATTTGATATCCATACTGCATACATAAAATAAATATATAGTTCTATTTTATTTTTTATTATAAAGTTAAATCATCTACTAATACTAATTAAAAAATAATAAAATTATATATCAATTCAAAAACTATGAACTAGAAAAGTTATTATAATATAAGAGGGGTAAATCTTACAAGTGAAAAATCTCATTTTTTTACATATAAATAATAATCAAATATGTTAACAGTATTGGAAGCTTAGGTGAAGATAACGCAGCAGCTTATGTTTCAAATATACATGTGACGGGGACAGTGCTTACAGGAACCTCAAATGGAGCACGGATAAAGACTTGGCAGGTACCAATTTGCAATGCGTCTATACGTAATACAAATATTACTGCTGACATATAAGCAAGTAATTGAATAACTTGTGTATGAAAGGTGTATTAATAATGGATAATATAATGTGTGTCTATGTGCTATTGTATTATAAGTAAATGCCTTCAATTGTAAACATATTTTGTGCAGGGAGGGAGCGGATATGCGATGAACATAGTGTTCGACAATATTGTGATGAAGAATGTGTCCAACCCAATAATCGTAGATCAAAACTACTGTGATACAGGCAAAAACTGTCAACAGGAAGTACGTATTGTGATTCAAGCAGAGTGTTGTTGGTTGTATTTTTGTTATCCGTTTATTGATCTACCAAAGTCGAAGTTTATTCATCTTTTTAAAGATGTCTCTCAAAATTGCAGGATTAATTCAAACCAATTACCAAAATACTTTTTAAATTAGAAGTAAAAGGAGAAAAATTATATATCCCATTAGCATAACATTTTCTAATTTAATGAAAATATAATTTGCAGCCATCAGGGGTACAAATACAGAACGTAGTATTCAGTGACATAAGTGGCACGAGTGCTACAAAAGATGCAATCACTTTGGACTGCAGTCAGTCGGTTCCGTGCAGAAATATCATACTAGAAAATGTGAAGCTAACTGCCGTAAAAGCTGGAGGAAAAGTCGATGCTGTTTGCTCCAATATCAATCAGACATTACTAATAAATACTAGTCCAACTTGCTGGTAGAATCAACAAAAACAACTAGTGATTCGTTCAAGTTGGTAAATTTCTTACAGGGTTTGTTTACCTCCTTTTTTAAAAAAAAAAAAAAAAAAATGGTTAAAAGGGGAAAAAATGTAATGCAATTTTGTACTGCTTTCTGCAGGTGGCAGTTTGTAGTGCCCAGTGAAAGCGATTCAGAAAGGAGATAGTTCTTTATTTCAGAAAAAGTGATGAGTTTGTGAAAGTTGTTGATGGAGAAAGTGTTCTAAGTTCTTGCTCCAGCAGAGAGTCTATGCGTGCGTATTAGCTACACATAAACAGTACAGACCTCAAATACTTCAACAGAAATTAACAGAAATTTATGATACAGGCATGTAATAAATCTATAATTTGATGGATATGATGTAATGAAATGAAACAGAGGTAAATAAACTCGTGACATTTGTTTACAGTATTATAAAACCATACCTGGAAAGTTGTATGTGTAAAGCGAGTAGAAACCATAAGGAGATCATCTCAGCAACTGGCTGCTAAACTCTAGAAGTCGCAGCATTTATATTAACGGCATATGGCACTACACAAATGCAACTGTCCCACAATATCAGAAATTAGCTCAGTTCAAATCCTCTACAGAAAACAGAAGGCTTAGTTTGTGATTTCAGAGGCCCTCTTTCAGTCTTTCACACCAACTAATACGAGAAAATGTCAAATAATATTAAAATTCAAAACTGTTGCTTTGTGAAACTATATAGAGATTTACTATTTTTCCCTAAATATCAAATAAGACTTACATTCATTGGCTAGCCGCTTGGAGCACACAAGCTATCAGATCCATCCTCCGAGCCATCAACTATTAGAAGAAACTCCAGTATCTATCAAAAGATCCTTAATTGGCAAACGATCAGTTTGTTTTGTTTCCATCCAAAACAAAACATCATTAATATGCTAATTATTCCTACCATCATCATAACCATCAGCAACAGAAAGCACTTCCATATCATATTCTTTTGCTCCACCTAAAAGAGCTTCAAGAGGGGTTTTAGTATTGGCAGACATGTAAGACGTGAATTTCACTTCCAAAATAGGGAACTCAAAGTCCAACATAGAAGAAGATGAAGTGTCAGAGACAATCATGTTTTTTCTGGATCTTCGGATATACTTTGCCGATGCATCTCCTAAAGCCTCTGCTTCAAAATCAAGTCATCACCATCATCTAGGTTAGAATCAGCCGTTTTCCCTGGATTAGTTTCATCATAAATACCATCAATCCAGTTTTTCCCAGCTTTCATGGAGTCCTTGGCTAGATAAATACAATTCTTGACAGAACTGAAACCTGTATCCCTCTCAAACTCGCCATCTACCTTATTTTCTTCAAAAGCAGCAGGGAGGCCCATATTAGATTCCCAACTCGCCAAAATCATCACGGTCGTGTTCATCATTCTTAAATTTGGAAGCCATGTCCAAAGAGCTCTGGGTATAATTCAAACAATCCTCATTGCTATTTTCCACTTCAATGAATTCAGGAGCCCTACATGTGAAGCCATGACCATGCTGCAAAGAATCTCCATTGCCATTTTCTGCAGACAGGAATTATTGTACTTAACCAGAATCTTCTTAAATGTTTCCATCATCAACTTTAGAGGATGAAGATGTTTGACCATTATCAGATGGATGAATTCCAGCAATGGACAAAAACCCATTAAGTACAGCCGCTAAAGCATCAATTTGCATCATCGGGTAACTTGGCCATGTTATTACATATGTTTTCAAGTTCTGATGCCCTAGAAGCTGGTAAATCACTTTGTTCGGCATTGAATGAGCTTGAATTTGACTCATGGTAGTGAAGATGTAAGAGCACAGATTTTCGTGCCGGGTGGCAAGGCATAATGGTTAGTGTTATCAGTAAGTTTTTGAAGTTGATGCTCAGCTAGACCATTTGAAGCCTTGCCTCGATGCTTTTGGTGAGCTTCATCATTCTTTCTTCGAACCTCAGGCAAATATCTTCCTCTCTGCTCACTCGAGAAATAAGCTGCTCTTTCAAGACATCCTGGAGGTGAATCCCTTCATGTTTACAGGCTCCACACCGGATCTTCCAAAATATCCTTGTCAAGTTCTTTTGGCTTCACAGATTGTTCAATAACTCGGTTTATTTCTGAGCGGACATCACTTTCATCATTTCTTTTGGAACCATTTCCCATCTTATTATCCTTAAACCCTTTACCAGTAGCATCCATGTCATTGTCCTTAAACCCTTTAATGGAAGCATATCTGTCTTGAACAAGGTGTGCACCTGATTTTGACAATTGCAGAAGAGAAGAGACAAACATGGCAAGAATTTCACAAAATTTAGTAAGATTTCACAAAAAAAATGTATGTATATATATATATATAAAGAAATAAAAGACATTTTCTTCTCATTTTCCACCCAATTAGAATCTTGACAAGAAAGGGGGAATACGAATTGAAGCCGAGTCACTTGATATTTTGCAGGTCCTCACAAGTGGGTTCCAACACAAATCCCCAGCTTTTGTGATTTCACTATACCAATTATTTACATTTTGGGTGGCGGTTTGTACCATAATATAAATCAGCAAAACCAAGAAACAGTTTGGAAATATGCATTCCACTAGAAAAGTATAAGGTTTGTTAAATACAACAAAATGTTATGAATTCCAAAAGCAAGTGTAAGGAAAGGGTCAAATCTTAAGCTTCCCAATTATAGCAAGAGCCAACATAGAACATGAAAAGTAAATCCCCCTAAGTAGGGAAAGATATGCATCGGCTTAAAATTTCAGCTCACAGCTTCTGTATCTGATGCCAGCTTCAAGCTCACTGAGTACGCCTCAAAGGAACATAAAATGGTTAAAGAACACAACAGTTGCCAATGGGTAAAGATGAAGATCCTCATGTAACACTTTTTTTAACAAAATGTTGCAACAAGTCGCGCACTGTTTGGTGGCATATATATGTCTTTGAGGAATTACCTGATCTTGCGACTCTTTGAAGCATGGCGGTCAACAATTTTTTCTCTTCTTAGTTTGCAATCTTTTCAGAGATTAGAATGCCGTTTCTGTCAACAGCAAGAACAAATTTCGGCAATGTCAACTCATTATTATTCATGCTTATTTTTAGTATTGTCCTACTTTTCTGGCTTAAAATGAGATGTCGAAAGGTGCAGGAAGAATTCAAACACGTGAGTTACAAGGGGTAATGACTACTTGATATGCAATTCAATTAAAATGAAACAGAGGTAGTCATTTCAATAAAACACCAATTTGATTCACAATCTTCATTGAACGTAGTAGACAACCAGGCATAATGTCATAAAATCCCGTTATACTAAAATTAGCATTTTCCCTCCTTTTTACAGTGAAATATGACCCAACAAAAGTTTGCAACTACTAGTTCAAAAGCAAGCCAAACCATTTAAACCAACCAACACAAAGCACAAGACAATTTTATAAATACCCAATATCTTACAAACTATGCAAAATCCGAAATATTGACTTACAACAGTTGCAAGGCATGTGATGCAAAAACATATATTCATGCTATATCTGTATAGAAGAGATGATAAAGGGTCAATTGTCTCAAATTACTCTTTCAGTAGGTGCTGGTAAAATTCCGAGTCATCCAAAAGTTCAGGGGTAGCCGTTCGCATAAGATTCCTGGTTATAGTATTTATGAAAGTTCAGGTCCCAAGCACGACCAGAAAACCAGTTTGAAGGCAGTTGTGATAGCTACTCTTAAGTGGATTAAATTCTGACACACATTACCACAAGTTATAAATAATATCTTGAAAACTTTTAAAGATGAAGAACCATTCCCCCTCATGATGATTTTTCCAAGTCCAACAAGTTAAAATGACCCACTCAGGATAAAGATACAAATTTTTCAACATATCATCTTCTCAGAGAAAAATCATTTAATCCCAAATAAAGTAGAAGTATGACAATAACTGAATAAAAAAATTCAAATTAGTAGCCTAAACATCCATGAGAAGGGGAAATAAAACTTTTCAGCAGCGAAGAGTTATCTTTAGAGACAATGATAATCTAAAGTAACTTACAAACCTACAACTGAGAAGCATATCAACATAAATTAAGTAATACCTCTTGTTTCATATTCTCTGTAGATTCTGGAGTCTGCTGAAAGCAGTAAAACACATCATAAATTCATACATATATCGAAAACATGTAAAATCGTAGAACATATTCATTATTTATCAACACTGAGCTAGGTAATAATCATTCCCAAAACAAGCTAAGAATTAATTTCACTCACATTTCCAACTAAAGCAACAGCTGCTCTATTCTGTTGCATCCCTTTAATCATTTTACACGGATGTCTCATATATGCAGCAACTTGTTCACTTATACTCTGAAGGGTTAAACCATCAGATGAAGGTAATCAAGGTATTTAATTCATATGTCATAAAATAGTCTTAGAAGTGTCAAAGGAAAATCTTATTAGAGCATCTCCAACCGATGCTGAAAACGCAAACGCAAAGGAATATTCTCTCCAACCGATCGTCAAACACAAACGCAAAATGAGTATTTGGTGGGTTTATCTCTCCTCCAAACGCAAATTTGCGTTTCTACTATTCACAAACGTAAAATTTTTGTTTATTTGCAATTTAATCCCTATATTTCCTTTTACACTATATTTTACCTTGTTTTGTGTTCTGTATATTACTACAATTATTTATTTGCTTATTTTTATTAACACTAAAAGATAAACACCAGAGACTAATATAATAAAAAAATTAGACATGCATACCAGATAACAAATTCAATCGAACAAAAAAATTTATAAAATATTTCTTGTAAAATCATACCAGCACTTTGAATTATTAAATCAATCCAACAGTTTTGATAATTTTGCTTACCATCATCAATCTGTAATGACTAATTATATATATATATATATATATATATATATATATTTAAATGAAATATAAAATAATGTTGGGTCAAATTTGTAAAAGTTGTTAAATATTTATGTGGTATTGAAAAGTGATAAAAATTGATGTAAAATGGAATATTTTGAGAATATTCTTTTGGGTTTGAGTATGGGTTTTTCGGTTGGAGAAGAATTACTGTTTGATGTGACAGATACTGCAAAATGGGTTTGGGAATGAGTTTTTCGGTTGGAGATGGTCTTAAAAGGCATGTAATTTGTCTTCGATAGCATCTGCACCAGTTGTCACCTGGGTCTTCCTCTGCCATTTATCAATTGATTTGTTTCTAAAAGTGGTCATTCTTTCTACTACACAACACAATTTAACATTAGTCACAATCATGACACCATCATAGCCAAGGTAATGATAATTAAAAATATTGTCTGTTTTTAACTCATTGAAAGAGTACTTAAAGTGAGTTTTACTTGAAACGTGATCCAAATGAACAAATCTAGACGTGAAAGTGCTCCTCTTGGTTGATTTTGTCAGAAAAGAAAAGTTTTTGAAAGTTGCTCCAGCGCCAGTCATCAATTGCAAAACATTAAGGAATTCGGATTAAAGTATGTGAATTTATTAATTTCCAGCCCCAGAAAATTAGCGAATCCAGTCTACATCCAATCTCCAGAGTATAGTAGGCAGATCACAGTGATGAGGAGAGAAAAACCTAGTTCAATTGCAAGACATAAGGTAATTGAAGTACCTTGATTGCATTTGAGAAATCTTCAGCCATTCTTCATCTTTGAGTCGGGATACAGTTAAAAATAGGGTAAAATATCTAGTACGGCCTTGTATTATAGCGTCAGACGCCCTATTAAGGTTTTGCATGCACGAAACACCCTAAACCGTCTAAGATGACGGAAGTGGCGTGCGCGTGCTGTGCGACTTTTTCTTCATTTTTTTACTTCAAAGTGGCAGAAATTACTGTTTTACCCTTGAATTACAGGGAATGGCCATTCAACCACTAGACCATATGGATAGATGTGTAACTTATTGAACATAAATATATCTATACATCATACTGAAATGAATTAAATAGTCAAAAAATAAGTAAATAAATAAAATAAAAGGATAATATGTCAATTTACTATAATACTAATATCTTCTAATAAATTAAATTAAAATAAGGTAAGATAAAATTTAATGTATTAGCGTGAACTAAAATTAAATAAAGTTATAATTAAATAAATTTTAAATGAGAAAAATAAATACAAAAATGAAATTAATAAATAAATAAAATTAAAATAAACTAATTAAAGAAAAATAAAAATAATAATTATATAAGATAATAAAGTATAAAAATTATAAAGTAAAATAAATAATAAATCAAATATCTTATTATGAATTAATAAATTAAATAAATAAAGAACTGAAATTAATATAATATAATATAATAAAAAAATATTATTTATCAGATAATTTTAATATGATTTACTCATAATAAATATATTATTATTTAATATAAAAACAAAATGATAACTTAATATAATTTATAATGTAATTTATAATGTACAATATAAGTAATATATTACTATTATCATAAATTTATATTTTAATAATTTAATTTAATATAATTTATAATGTACAATATAAGTAATATATTCATTCTGTAATTTATTTTATCATAATTGAGTAGATAGATTAGAATATATTATTTATAATTTAGAATCTATTTACTCAATTATTATAAAAAATATATATATAGTGAATTGTTATATTAATTATAAGTTATAATTATCATTATATTATATATAATTTCGAATATATTTACTTAGTTACTATATTATTTATGATTTATAATTATCATTATACTTTAGAATATAATTTATTCAATTATTATATAATTTATAATTTAGAATCTATTTATTTATTCATTATTATAAAATTTATTTATTTAATTATTATATTATTTATTATAAAATATATTTATTTAATAATTATATTATTTGGAATTTATAATCTCTTTATTCAATCATTATATTATTTAAAATTTAATATATTTATTTAATCATTGTGTTATTTATATCTATACAACGAATTATTATATTATTTTTAATTTATAATATATTTATTTAATTATTGTATTAGTTTTAATTTATAATATATTTATTTAATTATTATATTATTTATAACTTAAAAAATATGTACTTAATTATTACATATTTATAATTTATAAACTATATACTTAATTATTATATTATTTATAACTTAGAGTCTATATACTTAATTATTACATTATATAGAATCTGTATAATTCATTATTATATTATTCATAATTTAGATCTACATAATTAATTATTATGATACTTATAATTTAGAATCTATATACTTAATTATATGATATTCCGCTATACAGTGTGATATATATAG